TTCTTCGTGGGTTAGGGCGCGTAGCCGTCAGGCTCAAGCGTCCAACACATCCCCCCTCACCACACCCCTAAAAACTCATCCAGTGTCCAAAACCACTTTTATCGACTCGCCAAAAAAAAAAACACACACACACACACATATACACACACAAAGCATGGGGCATGTCAGCTCTCAGTTCATTTATCATTGTCTTTACCATGGTTCAATTGCATTGCGCGATTTAAAGCACGTGAGTGCCTATATAGTATATATGTAGAAAATAATATCTACAGCAAAACATCCAAAATTACAAAGGCTACAATGCTTAAAAAGTAGGTTCATCAAGGAAGCCCATTTTTACTTGCGTTGTGTTCCCAACCATGCGATTCCAACGCGGGCTATTCGCAACGTCTGTTAAGGCACGTTAACAACTGACAAGCCGCCACCGCTGTCACTTATTCATAGATGGTTGATATCGCAGCTTGGGCGTCAGCAGCGCGGCCCACAACGCGTCGGCGCCAGCGCACGCAGCTGTTGGCACTCGGCAGCCGGTGTTGCGACTTAACGGCCGGCCGGCCCCATGAAGGAGAAGCTCTTGGTGAAGCTTTGTGATCGCCTCATAGCCGCCTTGGATGTCATCTTTCTTGGCAGATCCATCCGTTCAGATGGTACGGTGCAGTCTGGATAAAGGACGAAGTCCAACGCCGCTAACCCCGCGACCGCCACCCCACAACGTGGCCGCAGACCGAACGGGCGTGAGGGCCGTAAGGGCCACCCCGCCATCCGGTAGGTGGCTGAGCAGCCGGGCGCAGCGGCGCCTGGGCGGCGGCCGCGCTGAGATGAAGTCCCAAACCGCCATGTCGCCATCACCGCCATCACCATTGCTGCAGCTGTTCCCAACCGCCTCAATCGCCGCCGTTTTGCCAGCAGTCGCGCCGCGGAATGGCAGAAGCTCCAGAGTAGCCTCCAGCGCCCCTCCCCGCACGTGTGCAGGTGCACTGCGGCCGCCGGGTCCGACGTCCAGGCAGAACATGATATTTTCATGCTGCTCCGACGGTGGGCTGGTCTTGTTTGGGCGTTCCTCCACTGTGACGTCGGTCACGCCTGCCCCGGCCAGGGCGCAGAGGCCGACGTGTCACCATCCGGTTGCAGTCCTCAGTCGGGTCGCAACGTGTACCTCTTCCGCAGCGTGGAGCGCGCTCCCGCTGGGCAGCGATACAGCCAAAAGTAGCATAGCATGCGGGCGGCCAGCGCTGCGCCGGACAGCGGACCCATGCCGGGGGTATGCCGGTCTCGGCCATTAGCGGGGTCGTCGGGGCCGAGGCTGTACATACAGCTGGTGACCGCGTGAGCCGCCAATCGAAGCTCACGGCTTATAAGCTCGACGCGGGCATCACACGCCGTCCCGATGGGAGCTCCACGACGCCGCCGCGAACTCCAGCGCGGCTCGCAGCGCGAAGACCAGTACGGACGGCCGGGGCAAACGGCGTGCGGGAGTCGCAGGCGACGTTCTGCGGACAGAAAGGGTTGGGCATAAGCTGGTCGGCAGGACACTCTTGAGCCGAGCCTTTGATGTAATTACAGATGATCCAGAAGCATGCACAAAAATTCATGACACACTATTCTCATTTATGTATTTGCTACATATATGATATACCAGCTCATGATCAGTGACGCATTCTGGGCAATATGTTCTAAAGTGAAGTAACTGAAGTTACAGCTTAAAAGCTTAAAAAAACAGCTTAAAAAAAAACACACACATTCGATAGCTTATGAGAATAACATGCCTTGTGTGCTTAACCCGCGCCCTGGTGGGGTCTGTTTATAACGCGACCTGGTGGGGGGGGGGGGGGCTATTTTTTGCCCCCCCTCGTATCTCTGAAACTACTGGACGGATCCGCAAAATTCAAACGGCGTTCGAAAGGCCTGTCAAATTTGTCGCGGAAAACCAAATTTCATTGACCTCGGGGTCACCGATGACGTCACAGGTCAGGTCAAAGATGAAATGTTTCACCGTTCACGGGTCATCTAGGGAATGCGCTATAACACCGAAGAAAACGCATTTTGTCGAGAATCAGCGATAGGGCGTCAGTTGCCTAGTACATATGTTGCTATAAGAGGTCACTGACATTACCAGGTCAGGTCACAGGTCAGGTCACCAAGGGTCACAGCCCACAGGTCAGGTCACATGAACCTAACTTTAGGTACTAAGGCTGTGCGACGCATGTTTTATGGCCAATTTTTCATTTCCAACTCAATGGTGTTGGTTATAAGACTATCAGGTACGGCTTAGGTCACTTTCTGGTGGAGGTCAGGTCAAGGTCAGGTCAAAAAAGGTCAAATTTCAAAATTGATATTTTTGCATAAAATGGGTATTGATTCGATGCAGCTCGTCACGGGGAGTCCAATGGTGGTCTTTGTTTTGCGCTACGAGGTCTAGAATTGCTAAAAATTGAGTTTGAAAATTTGACGTCATCAATTTTGAACAGTTTTTTCGCTATAACTAGGCCAAAAAAAGAGGTATCGATCTCAAATTTGGTATGTAGATAGAAGGCGGTAGGGACTATCACATATATTCCGGTTTTTTCGAAATTCAAAAAACTTTTTGGATTTTTCGGCTATTATAATCAAAAAATCTATTTTTTGATTTTTGGGGGTCAAAATCCAAAAATTTCAAAAATCCGAGATAGCAGTTTGGTAGCCCTGTCAATTCTACAGCTTTTATGTCCGATCGTTTTTCTGTATTTGCAAAGCTATAGGCCTGACAGCTCTTCCCGCGAAGCCCTTTTTTCGGTCGAAAACGGCAGAACATGACGTCACTCTGAGGTCATTTCCGGCCAACCTATCATAGCCTTTGGAAAAAATTTTGGTCACAATGTGTAAAATTGATGTCCGGGAGGGTACTGAAAGTTTGGTGACGATCGGCGCAGCGGTTCTGGAGATATATCGAAAAGTCTGGAGGGGGGGCAAAAAATAGCCCCCCCCCACCAGGGCGCGGGTTAATGCAGGAAAATATTTTTTTTCACTTTTTTAGAAACAGCAAAAGAGTTGTCAACAAGCCATGTCAACTATCTTAACAATTTTTATGGAAACTGCTCTAGCTAGCTTAAAGTTCCACAACGTTTCCGGAGCACCGTACCCAAACTCAGTTCATGTTACAAGAAAAAACAGTAATAATGCCTCCTAATTTTGAATGAAATAGGTATAGGTATGAGTAATTTGATTTGGAAAGCAACAAATTTCCGCACATCATTTTAGCAAAATTACTATTTTCTTCAGCCATCAGGTTACACAAAACTATAGTAAACTTTATGATCTAGTTTACACAAAACCAAAGCCCCGATTTTAACAAATGTAGATAAAATTTAAACAATTTTAAAAAATGTATCGTGGAGAAAATGAAAAGTGTAGATTTGTAAAGCCGGGATATTTCAATTTCACGGATTAGGCACTTAAAGAAATATCTTCACCTTTCTTTGAGCCACCAGCCTTCACCCAAGTTTTACACGAATGTAGTGAAGCAGACAACATGTGGCAACTCAAAATTGTGATGGTTTGAGATAATTATGACGGTAAAAGAAAAAGCAACACAAGGTTCCTTACCCTCGTTTTTTTTCACATGGGTTCAGATGAGGCTTCAACTGTTGCCGACCTGAGGAGCTATAGGGACTTGAGCTTTCCAAAACTCAATTTCTAAGGGCACTGAGCAGTGTTTGGCTTTCACACGAATGCGATAGTAAGTTATATGAAGTTGACAAAGCAAGCAAAGCAAAGCATGATGCCCCGCGCGTCCGCCCGCGACCACGCCCCGCGTCCGACTCCCGACCGCCGCGTGACCCGAGGCGCCCGGCGGTCACGTGACCTACCGGCCGGGACTGCAAACGGCCCTCACCACCATTCTTGTATGACGTCATATCCTACTGAGGTGCTGATTGGTCGGAATTAGATACCTGAAGGTAATTATCTGCCGTAGTTACTTTTGTTTCATTGTTTTGCGTGTTTTCTTATACGAAATGTAATTAAAAAAATTGTCATATTTTAATCACCATTAAAACATAACTGAATAGGTATAAAAGAGAACTCGATATATACTTTCCTTGTTTTTAAGAATTCCGGAATTAGATACCCGAGGGAGCAAAGAGGGAGCAAGTTGCCACGCTGATTTAATACCTCATAGTCGAAAGGTGGGCTACTAGAACCAAAAATTGCTGTGTTTGTAAATAAATAAGTGATTTGAGGGCAAAAAATGCCCGGATTTAAACTTCTAAAATTATTTTGAACATAAAATATTTCAGTTTGAGGGATGTTAAGGCCTCTAAGGGTAGGTACTTTTTAGGTATCAAATAAGTTCCTCTGCGAAAGTTCCGTCGTGAAAACGGCCACTGAAACTTATTTGACCAAAACTGCACCAAATTTGCACCTAATCTGCACCAAACGTGTACCACATGGCTGTCGTGAAAACAGCTAATGTCTTCAGAGCACCGTTTTTTTTTATAGTTTCAGCTTTGTCAAAAACTGCTGGGCGCTTAATAGGTGCATGAATATTGAATTCATTAACTACGGCTATCTGAGCCCCTAGGACGATACATGAAATGAAATAAAACAAGATAAAATGAATTTGAAATGGATAAAATGAACTTTGAAATGGAACTGGTGATAAGGGAGAAATGAGACGACTGCAACAAATAATGCCTATAACCATCGACATGTGGCGACGACGAATGATGTGCAGCTTAAGCAGCCTTCCTATCCCAAGTTGAAACTTGTGTGTAACCTTCTTTTGGTGTGCTACTTGGCTTTAAAGTCGCGTCAGTTTCGTCTGTTTACACAGTTGTGTTTCAAGGTGGTGCCCAGCACAAGTGTGTCAACTCCATTTCCTCGGTTTTACACAGGGCACCAATACGGAAGAGCGTAGCTATCCATCGGGGGATCGCATCGCTGTGTAGCGTGGTGATTGGCGGGCGGGCTGGCACAGCTGCCGGTCGCTCTCCTACCGTAAAAAGTATAAAGGGTGCCCGGCGGGGTGACAGTTCCGAACCGACGCTGTCACAGTCCATTCACCATGAGGGTGGTCTCGCTTCTGCCTCTGTCGGCGCTGCTGCTGACGCTCGGGGTCTCCCGCTGTGTCGGTCAATTCATGCGCCATGGGGATGCGGGTCAGATGAGAGCCGCGATGGGCGTGTCATCTGCCGACTGCGATGATGCTCAGGTATGTCGGGCTTAAGTACTCACATTGGACCATTGTATTGCCTAAAGAAAGACGTAAGACACAGTAATTTGGCCGTCTATTGCATTTGTTTGCCTGTCGCTAGTTTCCATAATACGATTCCTTTGATTGATAGAGAACAGAAGATAACAGGTAACAGACCTATCAACGTACGAAACGGTATAAAGTTCAGTCCTCAAGTTAAGTTTTGCATTGCAGTCCAAATAGTTTGGACTGCAAATATGGATAGTTGAATATAACCGTCATCTGCGGTCTCTTGAGTGCGCTTGTTCACTATTGCAGACTGATACAGCTATTTGAACGTCTATCTCTGGAGCGATACAGATGTAGGTATTATTACATTTAATCAGTCCTGCAGTGCCTTGCCAAAAGGCTGCCTTACGAACCTAACGCTTGAAGTCGACCGTGTTCTATTGTCGCTGGCGCGTCGTTGCAGACTGGCCTAGAGATGGACTGGGACGGCTCGGCTGACGAGTACACCTGCTCTGCGGAGCAGTCGGGCGCAGCCAGCGGCACCGGCTCGGTACTGGAGAGCAAGCTGGAGAGGATGTGCCTCGAGGTGCCAGCCGACTTCCAGGTAAGTGGTCGCACAATGATCGGCGAAAATTCGTCGGTTTGAAGTAAATTTAGTCCATAATTACTGCGAAGCTATTATAAAAGCAACAGCACTACGTTGTTTTTTATTACTTATCTACAATAACACTGCTGTTGCATGCTTGGGACAGCGTTGTGAAGGAAGGCGGCGTTGGCTTCGAATCTGATCATAACCGAGAGTTCTTATACGGCTGAGTTGTGATGTTTGTGATTGACAGCATGAAAATGACTGAAATGTTAACTTGAACAGTTCTGTCTTCTTCTAAATTACCCATTTTCTCAATTACTGACTTCTGCTACGATCAAGAGCTCAAAAATGTATTTTTCCAAACAGTTCAGCCGTATGCCCGAGGGTGTGTCTTATCCCGTGCTACTGCGTACCTACAATACAAAGATCATGCAATGGGCACACAACCTTTAACCCTCGCCGGCACAGGCCATTTTGCGTCCTTCGACGGCACAAAAGGGGGGAGAGGGGTTGGTACGACCCCCTCGCGTTTGGCCCCTGATCGAGCTAGAGCTTCGCAGAAAAATGAGCGTGTTGCCCGTCACGAGAGGAAGCCGATGATACCCAATTTTAAGGTCCTAGGTCATCGGGTGACCTTCCAGGTCAGGTCAATGACCCGAAAACCGGGAAAATCGCGACCTGTTAGAAAGTCGTAAAGTGTGGCTGCTATGTGGTTTTCCGGGGTGCTGATCACGAAAATCGTGTTAGTTTTGATCAGAGATGATGTCTTTAAGCATTTAGACCAGGTCTCGTCAGGTCAGGTCAGGTCAACCGGTAGGGGTTGTGACGGGTATTCGTAATACGTGTCCACCGCCTCTGACAACTTCGTAACATGTTACGAAGGCACCAAAACTACTTCGTAAATGTTCAAATGGTTGCTAAATTCGAATTCAGCTCCAAAAACTAGCCTAGAAACATGTAAAACTGAAAAAGTGAACCGAGGTCACCCGAGCCGAGGTCACCAAAGGTCAATGACCTGACCTGACCTTCAGGTGACCTTGACACCCACCCTAATATATAGGAACAACATCAAATCACATGTTTGAACGTTTGAAACCACGAAAAGCTTGCAAACGCGCGGTTAATGCGAGCCGACATGCGCCGAATCGCGATTCCGGCCAAACATGGTCTCGGAAAAGAGGTCACAGGTCAAAGGTCATTTGGGTCAGGGTCATGGAATTTTCAGGGTAGGTATAAAATTGATCAATGCGAGGGTACTGAAAGTTTCGTTGCGATCGGCCGCTTTTTACGCGAGTTATTCGCGAAAAAACCTTAGGGGGGGGGGGTGGGGTTGCATCAACCCCCCCCCCCTGTTCCCACCTTAACATTAGTTTTGAGTTGAGATAGCCAAATTGGTGGCCATGGCCTGCAAATACCGGTTTGGGCACTCACAACATCGACAAATGCTTTAAAGGGACTATCCCACCTTCTAAAATATTGTTAAAACCAGTTAAATTGTGCCCGACTTTATAGATTGGATGACCAGGAACACGGTTCTGGCATTTATTTTTCATTAAACATCTTAGGCTTCCCATATTCGAAACACAAACTTTCAAATATGTGACGTCACAGCCCAAAATTACCTCCCTCCCCAGGCCACATTACTGTCATAAAGCTGATTCCTTTTACTCTGTAGGCACCACAACAAAGTTCAGACCAGGTTTTAAGCGATTTTTCAACGAACAAACCCATTTAAATCAGAATGACTAAACGAGGTGACGTCACACTAGCGGTCGCTCCATGTTGAAGATAGGGCCTTGTACAAGGCCCATTTTCAAATGAAGGGAACGAATTTCTTCAACACCAAGAGGCCGCGGGGTTGCAACCTAGATAGATAGTGGTTTCTGAACCTCGCCGCAAACTTGGCTATCTCAACTCAAACCCCATGTTAAAGGTGGGATAGTCCCTTTAATTCGGAGATATGGAATTTCAAACTTGCAGTTTTCGGATTCTAAGGGGCTAGTGCATTGGTATGCCCCCTTAGAATTTGTGACGTCAGCGGAGATCTAACGATTTTTAAATCTTTTACTAAAACGTTTGGTAGCACGCGGTGGTATATGCTGCTTTGCGCGCAACAAATGCCGCACTTTCAAATAAAGTCGCTAGGAACAGCGGAGATCCCAAAAAGTAAACAAAAGTAAAAGTCTAATATCTTGAAAACCGGTGAATATTTTTCGATGAAATTTGGTAGATATTCGTTTTCGCTCTTTCTGAACCGAGCGACATCACTTTCGTGCCAATTCATTAACTTTTTTGAAGGTGGGAGGGTCCCTTTAAGCTGATTTCTAAGACTTTGTTGCTTTGATAATTTATATTTTTTGCATTGAAGAGCCTTGGAATGTCTGTTTATTGCAAAATATTATATCTGTAATGATAGGAATTGATTCAGTGTGGCATTTTATTCAACTTCATAATCGGACATTGTGGGTTTGACGACTTTTTGCCCCACCAACTTTCCTGGAAAAGCTCCACCCATGCCCACTCCTCCATGTGCGGGTGAGGGTTAAGGTGCGGAGTCTCGCGCGTCTGGCTGTTACGATTTCCGAGTGACCGATAGCATAGTAGGGGAAGCGGGGGTAACACCGCCACTGTGGGAAACACCGCCACCCCATCTGGCGGCGAAAGTATGAAATGTGAAGTGTAAAAATCCGTTATTTCCTATTGACCGCACGAAGGTAAGCGTCTTCTGATTTGTGTTCCGGTGTTTCAGTGTAATCGAAGCTCAATGTGGGCATTTAAAGAAAAATGCACATTCTCTTATAAAAATTCGATGAGTTGGGGGCACTTTTGAATGTCTTTAAGTAGAGACTCATTTTGATTTACTTGATTACATCGAAAAATAACTGATCGGCTTTGTCCAGTAAGATAAGTTTGCTTGAACCGTGTAGTACATTCTTACCGCTGGCGATTTTTGCTTGTGATCACTTATTGGGGAACACCGCCACCCCGTGGCGGTGTTACCCCAATTGAGGTTGCGGTGTTTCCTGTTTGTAGCGTGATAAGTGATGAAACTCCAAAGACACGCTTTATTCATGTTCGTAGATGTTCCTAAGTCGGGAATAAGCAGCTTATTTGATTTTTTACTTTATATTTTTCATGCATCCCGACCAAGCACTTGCCAGCTGTATAAAACTGGCAAACAGCTGATGAACCTATAGCTATTTAGGTGTTCATTACCGATTATTTGCGAAAATTACCACTTACCGACAGGAGACTCATCGCACACGATCTCTGAACAATTAAAAGCATTCGTAGGAATGGGTTGGGTTAACATCAACACCGGTGGCGGGGTTACCCACACAATTTGTAGGCAGCAAATATGCAAGGTATTTTTAAAAGTCGTGATACATGAAAACCTTTTAGGAGCATGCAAAATAAGTACCTAAAACACGTGAGAAAATGTTTAAATATTGTAACCAAAACAATAACTACCAAGAGACTTACTTCACACATATTCTCTCATTTTGGCGAGAAGCTTAGGGGGGCGGTGTTACCCCCGCTTCCCCTATCCGCGTTATTGGTTTTGTCGAAAAAAAGAATGCCTACCACGCAGTTTGCAGAGGGTTGTATATACATATACGATGTAGCTTCACTTTACCAGGCCAGCGACGTCACACTTTCAGTACCTTATCATACATCAGTTTAACATGTTTTCCAAAAATTTGAGCGAAATCCGTCGATTTTTTTTAGAAAATGACGTTTAAGTGACGTCATGCCACGCCATTTTCTCTTCAAAAGCTGTAAAACTTCAAACGCCGCTAACATCTTCATTTTTAAAGGAATCAAGACGTAACAAAAAGGGTTTTACGTGATTCTACTTTGTCTATCAAATGGCTCTTAAGTTATTGGAAAATTTTGGAAGTTAACCCAATTTTTTTTCTAAAGAAAACTGTTTTTTTTTTGGAAATTCAATATAAAATCCAACATTTTGTGTTTATCGAAAAAAAACGAAATATATGTTAGCGAAGTGGTCTATGTACACCTGCATACCAATTTTTAGAAGAATCAATTCAAAAATGTGTTAGTTATTGAAACTTTTATGACGTCACGACACACACAATTTTCGAATAATGATTTTTTTGGAGCTTTTAGACCTCACACGGAAACAAAAATAGCACCATTCGATTCGCCGTGGAAAAAAATGCATCAGATAGACACCTTTTTAGGTCTTAACAATCAACTTCCAAATTTTACCTCACTTGACCTGACCTTGGCCTGGCCTCGACCTGAGATTCATCCAGATGTGGTCCATATCACTAATTGAGTGTGCCCACTGCCCATAGCATCCTATGAATAAAATAAACCATAAAACATGTGTCGCACATGCCCTCTTCTATATTTCGTATTTGGTGACCTGAACTGACCTTGACCTTGACCTTTGCATGACATTGTATGCAATAAATCTTGTCTTGGTAGCCTATAAGAACACGTTTTGGGCTATCAGTCTCAGTCCATTCTTCGGCAACTACGATGCAAGGCTGATACTGTAGAAACTTGCATTTTGTACCCTTGACCTGACCTTGACCTGACCTCTGACCTACTTAAGCAAAATCTGCACCCCCTCCCCCCCCCCCCCAGCAGGGCTAGTGTGGCTGAATAGCCCAGCGGGGCGCGGGTTAATTGGAGGTGTTCCGCCGCCACTGAGTAAGACCGTGAACAAAATGGCCTTTGCGCAACAAAACTACAGCATACGTCTTAGTTTTATAGACAAATATGTAGTGCTTTTTTTCTTTGCAGCCGGAGCATATCTGCATGAACGTCTCCATTGAATACACGGAAACCATTCCAACTACGTAAGTAGGAAAACGTGCGTGTGATACAATACATGATCCTCGGTAAAAAAGATGTCGAAAATATAGGGTTGTGTCATTTTTGAGACCTAACAATACAGATCGACCAACTAATAGCTGACCTTTCCGGTCAAGTAACGGCTTTGTCTTTAATCAAATTTGCATGTTACTCATATTGGGTCAAATATTCATTCATTCGTCACGTCTGATTCTGTCTGAACGTTAGGAACACGATGTCGTTCAATCAATGTTTTACTAACTCTGAGTGAGAAAAAATCTCTTTTCACGACACCGTCAATTTGTTGATTGTTCCCTCTGGATGCTAAGCCGCTTACCCTTATTTTATGTCTGAGCACACGCTAACGAAATGCCGAAATCGGGAATCTTTGACCTTCGAAGACCTATGATGAACTGACATGTGACCAGACAAAAGAAATGACTGAATTATTTTCCCCCGTAATTTTAGACGCTTTTTCGACCGCCGCTTATTGAGTGTCGTTACGTGGGCCGTAGCCCAGGAGCCAAGTCAGATTTGGGGTCTTCCACCACCCCAACAGAGCATGGAAATCCAGGAGCTCCAACAGGGTGCACCTGGTACTTACATTTACCATTTCCCGTATACTTAAGTACGGGTGTGCTCACGGTATGCATGTTTGCAGGGTGAATCACCGACCGCTTTGGGCCGTGTATGGAGAATACACATACCTTCCGCCTCAGCGGTGGACCCACAACATTGAGGTACAGTATACAGCTTCTGCCTTCTATTACCTATTTCATGACGGAATCATAATTAGCATTTATGATGTATATTTGCGTTGAGACCGCGTCCTGTTATGTGTTCCGACTTTCATGTCTGCTGACAGCACGGCGCGGTTGTCATGCTGTATCACCCGTGCGCCGACTCTTCCGAGGTGGACAAATTGAAACAACTGGTGCGTGGCTGCATCCGCAAACACGTCATCACCCCCTACAACAAACTGCCAATGGAACAGGTGAATTTCTCGTTCGAAAAAAAAATATATAAACAGGCGTATTTTTGGTCAGCCTTGAATAATCAAATGCGGAATGATCGTCGGGAAGAATGTGCCAAGTAATTCTGTAAATATTGGGTAGTATGTAAGTATTAGGTTGCATACTGGTGCTAGGTACGTACTTTTTTGGTAACTTTTGTGAATTATTTGTTAATTAAGGATCGGCGTGCCCATTGCGAAGCTCATTTTGGAACCATACATACCTCATCTATATTATATCTTTATTACCTATACTATACCTATGTTATTATCATAATATGTACCTACTGAATACATTAATAGTTTTTTTTTAAACCAGTATAACGCTTTTTGGGGCGACTAGTGGAGCGAGCGAGAGGGTGAGCCTTGCACGTGCGAAATTTCGAGGGGGTACCTCCAACTGAATTGTGCACGGCACCCTACTAACCGGTCTCTAGCGATGTGCCAAATTTGAGCACAATCGGCCCAGCCGTTCTCGAGATCTGGAAGCGGCACCCTGCACGTGCGCACGTGCAAATTGGGCTCCAACTGACTTGTGCACGGCACCCTACTAACTGGTCCCTAACCGTGTACCAAATTTGAGCGCCATCGGTCCAGCCGTTCTCGAGATATGGAAACGACCCCTGCACGTGCGCACGTGCAGCAGCACCCCAACTCTGGCACATGGATATGCAGTGTCTAGTGGGTGCCTACCTACATGCCAACTTTCAGCGCAATCGGCCAAGTAGTTATCGAGATATTGCAACAATTACAAAACTGACACCTCTTCGTTTTGCACGTGGCACGTGCATAAGGGGTCACCCACATGCATCGGGAATAGTCCAATACTTGGTAGAAGGAATGAAGCTACCCTACAAAAATTACCGCGTGTAAGTCGGTCAAGTGGTTGCTGAGATATAAGCCTCGCAAAAGCGTCCGCACGGCCGGCCGGTCGGCCGGCCGGCCGCTCATACTCAGAAATTTCCGTTAATCTAAGGAAAGACTACGCTCGCTTCGCTCGCTCCGTAATAAGGTATTAAATCCTTTTCAATTTTGTGAATATAAAGACTTATTTATATCCTCGCCTTTTTATTGTTATTACAAAACCACCACGGCTCTGTGATTCCATGTTCAGCCGCTGGCGCTGGCCACCTGGGGATGCCACCTCCACATGGCTCAGGTGGACGAGGCTGCCGTCCGCAGCTTCATCAGGGAGACGGCTCTACAGGGCACGGAGGGCCACCTCAGCCGGGAGGGCCAGTACGACTACATGCTGGTGCAGAAGGCCCAGCCGCCGGTCGGATCTGACATCGACGACTCTGTCCTCTGCCCCAACCAGCCGTGAGCTGACCGCGGCGGGGTCACTCTGTGGCGTGGGAGACATGCCATTGGGCGACACGCACCAGATAGAAGATGCCGTAGGGATACATAAATATATCGGCAGCTTAATTGGTGTTGGACAATATTTTACATTATACGTATAGGTATGTAAGACAAATATTGGCAAATATTGATTATTTTTCATTCATTGTTTTTGGTTCATTTTCATTTTCCATTATTTACTTCTTTCGTGTAATTTTCGGGCACACTATAGCTAAATAACTTGTTTTCTGCAGGTGTGGCCTCAAGTCATAATATTTTGTCATCTAAATGTAGTCGTATGCCTTATACGAGCGATATGCTGTTCCAGATGTGTTTAGAAAGGAAAAGCTTTACCATCTGCATATGTTTGTACCTACCAAGCGTGCATTAATCATTTTTAGGAACAAACGGACTTTGCTGCATGCGGAATTGCTCAAATTGACGATGCATAACTACATATGTGAAGTAGGTACCGCAGTGAAATATGAAAAATACATATCTACATTTCTTCTGTTTCTTTGTCGTTAAATCTCCACAGTGTCAATGGTACAACCTTCACATTACGAATAATTCAACATTAATGTCTTATTACCTTTGCAATAGTGACACCTGAAACGTTTCAATAAAGTTTATCGAGGATAAAAGGACGGCATGGTTTGAGATGAAATTTGTATTAATGGTAAATCTATTTAAAATAATAATGCGACCCGAAATGCAAGCATACTACATGCACATTGCATACGCAGCTCACTATGATAACATCGTCTTGATAAATTACGGTTGATAAGGGGCATTGCGGTTAATATAATTAAGTGACTAGTGAGCCTTAAACACTTAACATTCGAGTTTTTTTTTTCACAACAGGAAAAATGACGGTTCATAAACCCTAAGCTTTTTATATAGTTTTTTTTTTATAAGGTTAAGCATCTGTTATCTCTAACCTATTAATAATATAAGATATAGATTACGGGAGTGTCATTCGCTGCGTGTCCAATGCCTTTTGAATCTGGTGATAGTTGGTAGGACTTCTAGTCGGTTGGTCTGGCAGCAGTGAGTGGGGCAATCTGGCGCTCCTATACTGGAGGCCTGTTTTTGTGTCAGCGCTGTGCGGGGTAGTGCGTCGTGCCGGTCTCGGTGGGAGGCCTCGGCTGGCTGACTGTCCGCCGCGCCGCGGGGCCTCCGGGGGGAGTGCTGCGATCGGAGTGCGGAGATATCGTCCACTGTTCCTTCCTTTTCGTTATCGGTGGGTGATCACTGATCAACGACTGCGACTTAAAATCAACTTCGGTGTCATCTCCGGTTTACTTCTGCCACTGAAGGAATACGACAAGCACAGGTAAGTCGAGTATCTTACATACGTGAAGACATTGATCCATCGGAATAAGGAAATACATTTTATATGAGCTTAGAGCTTTGCATATCAGGAGTTCGGTTTACCATAGCTGGGTGCTCGAACACCTCAAAACCCTTAAAGGGACCCTCCCACCTTAACATTAGATTTGAGTTGAGATAGCCAAAATGGGGTCCCTGGCTCACAATTACCGGTTTTGGCACTCACAACATCGAGAAATGCCTTAAATCGGAAATATTGAATTTCACAATTGCAGCATTTTGATTCAGAGGGGCTAATGCTTAGGAATACCCCTCTGAATGTGTGACGTCAGCGCAGATATCTAACGATTTTTAAATGTTTGACTAAAACGTTTTGTAGCACGCGGTGGTATATGCTATTTGCGCGCAACATCTGCCGCAAATGCCGCACTTCTAAAATAAAGTCGCTAGAAACAGCGGAGATCCCAAAAAAGTAAACAAAAGTAAAAGTCTAATATCTTGAAAACCGGTGAATATTTTTCGGTGAAATTTGGTAGATATTCGTTTTCGCTCTTTCTGAACCCAGCGACATCACTTTCATGCCAATTCATAAGCTTTTTTGAAGGTGGGAGGGTCCCTTTAACCCTCGCCCGTATAGGGGGTGGGGGTCAAACGGACCCTCCCTCGTTTTTTTTTTTGCGAAAAACTCGCGTAAAAAGCAGGCGATCGCACCGAAACTTTCAGTACCCTCGCGTTAATCAATTTTATACCTACCCTGAAAACTACATGACCCTGACCCAAATGACCTTTGACCTGCTGTGACCCACTTTTCGACACCATGTTTGGCCGGAATCGCGATTCGGCTTATGTCGGCTCGCATTTGCCGCGCGCGCGTTTGCAGTCTTCCCTAAACCAAGAAGAAGAAGAAGCGTTTGCAGTCTTTTCGTGGTTTCAAGCGTTCAAACATGTGATTTGAACGAGAGAGACTCTCATTCAGTGTTCCCTTTAGGTCACCCCATGGAAAACTCCATTCCTTTTAGGGCCCCAGAACCCTAACCCCTCAAGGCATGCAACCGAGCAGACTGACCAATGATCATAGCGCTCCCAACTCTTTTCAGATTTATATGAGAAGCACTTGAAACCATGATGGCCACCAGAGACCCACTGAGGTTTTGTGTGAAGCTGCTCAACAAAACAGCCCGTCAGATCAAACGTTCCTCGTCCACGGCTGCTGCGAAAAGGTAGGTAGGTATGGGTGAGGGATATTTGTCACTGTTTACAAGCACCAGGGTGGCAGAAGTTCAACCTTGGTTCAACGTTTATGAGCGAAAATTCTAATGACGACAAATGATCGTGGCCGGTGATCGAGACTATGAAAACGAAACGTTACCGGTCCTACCATTATCGCACGCAAAACTATATAAAAAACTATTTTGTTATATTTATGCACCGTCGTAGACTTTGAGGCAGACTCGGTCAGTCTCGTATAAACAGTTGTGCCCAAGGCCGGGGCCGACTGCAAACAGTCGGCCCAGGCTGTTCTGTACTGGCTCTATGGCTGTAGGTATTCAGTTCTGCACTGGAATCCGGATAATCCCGGTTTGCACTGAGTATGTAATGGAGAGGGGGGGGGGGGGTGGAGAGCTCTCGTTAGAACGCGAGAAGCAGGCCTCCAGCGGGCTGTTTACAGACATGAACGTCTGTCTCTGATGGGGAAATCAGGATGAGTTGCAATGCCCAGCTGTGCCTTGTCACAGCGCCATCCTCCGTTTCGACAGTTGCATGTCACGCCAATTAGCGGGAACCGATTTTGGAGCTAAACGTAGACGCTTTATTGGAAAAGGTGTTAAGCCCACCTCACACGGGTGCGTTTACGGCACGAGGGTCTTACTCCAATCTTTGAGGCGTCGCATTCAAGTCATTTGGTAACATGGATCATCCCACCGACGTTAGCACTTGCGTATTTGATGAAACGAAATGATTCCGGGGCCGTAAATATATTCGGTGAACGGAAATGAAATTAAATGAAATTGGAACTGGACGAAAGAAATACATTGCGCATTTAATACCCATATTCTGCTGATCAGCTTCAGCCGGTCAAAATGATACGGAGAGATGTGGCGGGATGCAAACGCCGCGTGCACGACGCAAGCGGGCGGACGGTGACGCAACGCAACGCACCTCATATAAACTGCACTCGTGTTGAGCCAGCCTGAGCTTGCTTGTTTATCTACATAGTAGCGCATTTTGTAACTCGCACATAACAGTATCATAATGCTGCAAATTCTGTGGACATGGGCGGAGGAGAAGAAGAGGAAGAAAAAAGCCACGGGACATCAATTATGACCTCAAATACACAAGCACACAGACTCCAACATTTACGAGTACTGCTCGCTTACCAGAACTGCCCTGAACTTGCGTATTAACACCCCTGCCCCGCGTCGCCCAGAGCGGCCACAGCCACCCATCTGACGGATAGCTACGTCCACTGCGCTGGCACCACTCCTCTGGTGCACGACACGCTCGGTGACGTCATCGACCGGGCGGCTATCGACTACGGCACCAACGAGGCGCTGGTGTTTGTGCACCAGGACCTGCGGCGAACATGGCGCGAGGTCAAGCAAGAGGTGAGGGTGAGGTCAAGCAAGATGTTAGGGGTGTGGTGAGGTCAAACACTGAGGCAAGATGTGCAGGGTGAGGTCAAGGTCAAATGAAAGAAGTGTAGAACGAAGTCAAACATGAGGTAAGGCGGACATGGTGCGAGGTCAAACGTGAGTTGAGAGGTGGGCCGTGGTCAAACCCGGTTAGTATCCATAGGACTATCATTATAATGCTCGGGCTATTATGAGTCTACGGCGGGTCGCGGGATGGGCGATTCTATGTTTTTTTTTCGCGAATTCATCAACTCTGTTGGGTAGGTGCATTCTATTGTCGATGTTGTAACGTAACTCGCTGTTTTTTTTTTACTGTAAGATATTTTGTCTGAACATTTTGGCCGAATTTATGGTTCAAGATGTCGTATGGTGCAACCTGAATGGGCACATGGGTACAGTGAACAGGAGTTATGTCTCATAGTCTGACCTACTTTAACGTTTCAAGAAGTTGTCTCGCCGATCGTTAAATGGCCCTACGTCCACATTTAGGCCCCGAACGCATAACTCTTCTTCCACTCCGATGTATTTACTTGCCCTCTTAAGCCTGACCTGACCTGAGCTGACCCGACCTGTCGACCTTACCCGACAGGCGGAGCGGCTGGCCCATGGCTTCATGGCTCTCGGTCTCGAATTTGGCGACCGGATTGGCATCTGGGGCACCAACGTGTACGAGTGGCAGCTGACGCAGTACGCCGCGGCCAAGGCTGGCCTCGCCCTGGTCAGTACCTTTTCGCCGGTCCCCGCCGCCGTCCGCGGTCACTCACTGGGTCTAGGGTCGCTGGTCCCTAGTCCCTTGTTCGATATCCCTGGTCTCTGATTAGCCTCTGAGACCTGACTGAATTGCCCGGACTGCCAGAATTTCGATACGAGGGCGGTCCAAATCAGCGGCGTCACCACGGTTTCAGAACTTCTAGGGACACTTTTCCAGGGCGTCGCCACAAACCTTTGCTTGAGTCTGGTCGCCAATGCCCACCTACCCCCAAATCCTTGTTGGACTTCGGCCAAATCATTGCCTGGCCATGGCTGTGAGTGTGACACAATTTGCTTTCGGTTCAACCTATGGCTGTGGTGTTAACGAAATGCTTATCTTTGTTCAGCGATGGAAGAACATTTTTACCAAATGCACCAGACGAACAGCGTACATTGCCGATTTTGGTGTCCTGAATTTCTCATCACACATCCCTTCCCAACCCAATTCGCCAGGTAAACGTGAACCAAGCTTACCAGACCAACGAGCTCGAATACTGTCTGAAGAAGGTCGGCGTCAAGACGCTGGTGGCCACCGACGGCTACAAGACGTCTGACTACTACGACATGCTGACGCGGCTGCTGCCCGAGCTGACGTCAGAGGGGGAGTCGAACGTGCCGCTAACGCTGCGGTCCGAGCGGTTGCCGCAGCTGCGCAGCGTCGTCATGATCAGCCAGCAGCGCAGACGGTGAGACCGAGGAAACGAGACTGAGAGACAGCTGGGGAGACTGAGACGCAGAATAGTGAGCTGACATTCAACAGGGGAGACTGAGAGACAGCTGGGGAGAGTGAGGAACAGCTGGGGAGACTGAGAGGCCGCTGGGGAGACTGAGAGACATCTGGGAGACTGATAAGGCTAGTATGATACTGGCATATGCCATCTGACAGCATGCGGCCTTCTCTTGACGGTCGCGACCTTTTCAAAGTCCTGTTGCTCTTATAAGAATAAACTTGTATGTAAGGCTTTGTCGAAATTTGGAATCTTGTTCCTCTTCGTTGAGGATCAACCATCTGCCATCTTGACCAACGCTATTTATTTGTAAGTGACACGTCCTTCAGTGTGACTGTGCATTCCGTGTGCTTAAATCGCATTCAGCTTTATGTCTCTACTAAGTTGTAGGCCTATAGGCATTGAGAAATTCCTCCGTGGCCTCATTTCTCCTACCCGCCGTCGCCCGTACTACAGTCTGTCCCTACCGCCGCCGGTGGCGCTGTCTGACCCGCCGCTCCCTCCTCTCTACCCTTGGGGCCGATCAGGGGCGTGCTGCGCTTCGACGACCTGCTCGACTCCGGCATGGAGTCCCTGTCGGGGGAGCTACAGCGGCGCCAGGCGCAGGTCAACTGCGACGACCACTGCAGCATTCAGTTCACATCCGTGAGTGACCTGAGACACGCGGTATGACTTGACCCGTCGTGACCTGGCTTTGGCCTGAAATGGGCTGGTCTGACCTCTGAAATGGGCTGGTCTGACAAATGTCCAATGCTGTCCATCACTCTCGGAGGTTTGGTCTACAAATCAGCCCGACCGCTGAGCGTGTGTGGGCTCTGTTCAGGGCGTGTTTGCTCTGCGCTCACTCCGCTGAAACGCAGTCGGCTTTTCGCCTTCATTTCACTGTGTTTGTCCTCCGCTGGCTGTGTTTGGTGCTCGCCGTCCCAGGATGATTAATATCGCGACCGTAGACCAAAGCACGGATGGAGTCTGCTGATAAAGGGCTTTGGTTCGCCATCAGCCATTGTTGCCGCGTATCCGGCTGCTCTGCTCATTTTCACCTGAGCGCATAATCTTTTTACGCCTAAAGCTTAAAGTGTAAATCTGCTTTCATCTGGTAAGAAAAACAGCGATTTTACAGTTCTTTTACAGCGCTTTTAGCTCTAGAATGGAGATGCTCACCTACACTTAAAGTGAGCATCCCACCTTTACATTAGTTTTCAGTTTAGATAGCGTAATTGGGTTCCCTGGCTAATAGCTTGCACTTACCGGTTTGGGCACTCACAACGTCGCGAAAGGCTTTAATTCGGATACCTATATTTAATTTCAAAGTTGCGGCACTTTGGATTCCGAGGGCCTTATGCATTTGAATGCCCCCTCGGAATTTGTGACGTCAACGCAGATCCAGCGATTTTAGAAATAAAATCTTACACTAACATCTTTGTGAAGCAGTGGTGGTATATGCTGTTTTCGCGCAACGTCTGCCGTACTTTTAAGATACCAAATTATTGTTTCCAAATGACGTCGTTGGAACAGCGAAGGCTCCGAAAATTGAAGAATAAACAAAAGTAGGTACCTAAGTGTCTAATACCTATCTCCAAAACTGGTTAATATTTTTTTTTAAATGAAATTAAGTATATAGATATATTCATTTTTGCTCACTCACTCTGAGCAATGCGACACCACTTTTATGCCAATTTATGAACTATTTTGAGGATGGGAGGGTCGCTTTAACTACGTGTGCAATGTGCATTGTGCATAGATCCACTGATACCCACTTGTAGTACTTACCTCCAATGTCTGATCTGCATGAAATAAGTTGTTTTCAAGACGCATGATTTCTGCATGCAGCTTTGCGGGCTGCTGCTTTTGCAGACTCCGCCGTAGCCGTACATTTCGGCAAGTGGCAGCCGACAAACATTTGATTTTTTTTTTGCGCGACAATCTACCTACGCAGTAAATGCGTAGAAGCAAGTGTAGTGTAGGTAACTACTATTGAAAATAAAGGGTTGATGGCGGGCTCGTGCTCTCTCCTGATCCCTCAACTCCGCCAGTGGCTGAGCGAACTCGGGCCATTTTGTAGTAGCCGAGGCTGCATCCGTCTGGCACAGAGCCGGCCTCGAGTGGCTCAAACTCAGAGAGAAGTGGTCAGCCCCTTGACCTTTCCGTTCTCTGATGAGGCTTTTGAGTTTTATTTCGGGCACGGTCTCCAGCTGGATTCCTTGCGCCGACGCCGGAATGTTTCTCGCTCACGTTGGCAGATGGCAGTGCATTGATAGAACCTTCACATAAAGTCTGGGTGATTTAAGTTCGAAATTGATTTTTAACTGCTGCAAGCTCGTCCCAAATTCGGCTCGCTTTGAAGTTCAAAGCTACTCAACACTTTATTCTTGAATTAAACGAAGGCGAATTCTTAATCGAACGTTATCGGTGCATCCTGTAAACACGGTTTGTTTATAACTTTTAACTACTTGTAAGGTTCGAGGCTCGATCAAACTGTCCGAACCGCTGCCGAACATGTACATGATTATAGGTTCTGTCTCCTTTCCTACACTCAATTCGTTAACCCTCGCCGGACCTATTGGTTTTCTACATACGCGCCGGCCGAGGGGGGGGGGCGGGTACGACCCCCCCCCCCTCGCCGTTTCGCCCCTGGTGGAGCTAGCGCGTCGCGGAAAAAACGAGCGTGTGCGCCGTTACGAGACGCAGAGATTGGTACCCGATTTTAAGGTCCTAGGTCAACCGGTGACCTCTGAGGTCAGGTCAAGTGCCCCAAGGTACGGTTCAGTTTTTGGTGAATAACTTCGCAAAAAACGACCGCAGAGCGCCGATTTTGGCAGCATCGTGTTCGTCTCGCTCAGGCGCGTCGAATGATATACTTTTTGTCCGGGTCAGGTCAACTTGGGGTGTTGACCTCAGGTCAAGGTCAGGTCAGCACCCCCAGGTCACGAAGTTGGTCGAAAGGGGTCATGTCGCATATCATTCGATTCGGCAGGTCTTCCTGAGTCCATTGGTGGCTTTCCCGGCTCGCTAGCTCAATTTGATCAAGAGTTATTGACGAAAAACTAATATGACCTTGATGACGTCATAAATGACGTCACGCAAGGTCAACATTGCAAAAGTGACGCATCTAACCTTGCAAGGAGTGCATAAAATCACGATTCTGTGTGCTTGAGATAGTTGGAGATCGTTCCCGGCGCCAGAATAGCAGTTTGGCATTCAGATGGAACAATTTCAATTTTGCCCGGCAAAAACATCACAATTTATTGTTCGATTTTTCAAGTCTCGAGCCTCCAAGTCACGTGATTGTTATTGACACTTCTGGAAAATGAATGAACCGAACCAGTTTAGAAAGTGCATTTTAACTTAACGGGCAAAAAGCGTATCTGGTGTGCCAACAGATATGATGATGCATAATGCAGTATCAAGACACGTTTGGTGATTTATCCTGTTATGATAAGCGACATGTGATCAAGACCAGTGTCCAAGACGCTATCGAGAAATGAGAAAACATTGGAACGGAAGCAAGATTTACAAATCTGAAATCGGTGAACTTCTACGAAACTCGACTACGACCACGATCCATGAAGTCATGCACTCATCAGCTTTTCTTTCGTCAAGTTTTCATTTCTTAGGGCCCCGGTGATATCCTCATGCTTATCCTTCTTGCCAGGCTGCAGATGTGCGCAGCGCCAACTGGGCAGCAGCTGCACTCGCAGTCCTGCATAATCCTATCACAACGTCCCGTATCCTATCCGTATCCTTGCCATAGTATTTAACGCATCACCTCATAATCACCTCAACTGAAAAGCCACGATGCTTGTGGATGTTGTTGTATGTATAAATAAATAAATAAAAATTTGAATTTTTCCCCATTGACTTATAATGGTGAGGTCACGAAAATGACCTGACCTCATATGACCTTTAGGAAAAATCCGAGATATACAAGTTGTGAGACTCATAATGGATACTAGATCCTGCAAGTTTCATTTCCCTGTGACATCTCCTCTGGCAGTGAGGGCGTTGCGAAGTTGCGACATCTGAAGACCGTGCAGAGGTTCACTTATGACGTCATAGGTCAGTGACCTGACCTGACCCAAAAATGCGGTTGGTGTCAAAAGATGCGGCTTGGATCAAAGGTCAGGTATGCCAAGTTTCAGCTCTCTATCGCCAGCGTGTTCGGAGCTATCGCGAAAAAACCCTATGGGGGGGGCGGCACCCGCCCCCCCCCCTCGGCCGGCGAGGGTTAACCCGCGCCCTGGTGGGGTCTGTTTATAACGCGACCTGGTGGGGGGGGGGCTATTTTTTGCCCCCCCCCCCCCTCGTATCTCCGAAACTACTGGACGGATCCGCAAAATTCAAACGGCGTTCGAAAGGCCTGTCAAATTTGTCGAGGAAAACCAAATTTCATTGACCTCGGGGTCACCGATGACGTCACAGGTCAGGTCAAAGATGAAATGTTTCACCGTTCACGGGTCTTCTAGGGAATGCGCTATAACACCGAGGAAAACGCATTTTGTCGAGAATCAGCGATAGGGCGTCAGTTGCCTAGTAGATATATTACTATTAGAGGTCACTGACAATACCAGGTCAGGTCACAGGTCAGGTCACCAAGGGTCACAGGTCAGGTCACATGAGCCCAACTTTACTAAGGTTGTGTGATGCATGTTTTATGGCCAATTTTTCATTTCCAACTCAATGGTATTGGTTATAAGACTATCAGGTACGGCTTAGGTCACTTTCTGGTGAAGTTCAGGTCAAGGTCAGGTCAAGGTCAGGCCAAAAAAGGTCAAATTTTAAAGTTGATAGTTTTGCATAAAATGGATATTGATTCGATGCAGCTCGTCACGGGGAGTCTAATGGTGGTCTTTGTTTTGCGCTACGGGGTCTAGAATTGCTAAAAATTGAGTTTGAAAATTTGACGTCATCAATTTTGAACAGTTTTTTTCGCTATAACTTCGCCAAAAAAAGAGGTATCGATCTCAAATTTGGTATGTGGATGGAAGGCGGTAAGGACTATCACATATATTCCGGTTTTTGCGAAATTCAAAAAACTTTTTGGATTTTTCGATTATTATATGCAAAAAAATTATTTTTTGATTTTTGGGGGTCAAAATCCAAAAATTTCAAAAATCCGAGATAGCAGTTTTGTAGCCCTGTTGATTCTACAGCTTTTATGTCCTTATCATTTTTCTGTATTTGCAAAGCTATAGGTCTGACAGCTCTTCCCGCGAAACCCTTTTTTGGGTCGAAAACGGCAGAACATGACGTCACTCTGACGTCATTTCCGGCCAACCTATCATAGCCTTTGGAAAAATTTTTGGTCACAATGTGTAAAATTGATGTCCGGGAGGGTACTGAAAGTTTGGTGACGATCGGCGCAGCGGTTCTGGAGATATATCAAAAAGTCTGGAGGGGGGGCAAAAAATAGCCCCCCCCCCACCAGGGCGCGGGTTAAAGTGTACCTAGCTTACTCTTTTCAGTCCTCTTTGTTATGCGTAAACATATCATGAGATCGCTGTTATCATTCATCCGTGATCACTGCGGTCACCCAGCGTGAGGGAGGTGGCGTCGATCTACCTCGTGTGGTCAAAAGATGCAGAATAGCATTATTTTCTACATGCGCGTGTGCAGACGAGGGTCACTTGCCGAAAGAGTGTGGAATTCTCATGCCCTCAGGGCACCACCGGCCTGCCGAAGGGCGCCACCCTATCGCACCACAACGTGGTCAACAACACGCAGCAGGTGGCGGCGCGGCTGGGCTGCGACGTCGGCGGCGCGCGCATCTGCATGTCCGTGCCGCTCTACCACTGTTTCGGCTGCGTCATCGGCTCGGTGCTGGCGCCCCTGCACGGAAACGCCATGGTCTTCCCGTCGCAGACCTTCGACGCCGAGGCCTCGCTCAAGGCCACCGAAGACGAAAGGCGAGTGCTGGGGCTCTTCGGCATCGGACGGTCCGCGACTCGTTGATGTTAGCCCATGAACTATTAGGGATTTTGACGTGCGTGGATATACCGTCTGTATTTTGAATTACTTTATCTGCAGCTATTCGGCCTTCATACCGATAGCAAAGATGTTCTGTGACAAATATTTAGATGGGAGCTTCATCGAACAAGTATGTCAAAGGTGCACTAGCTCAAGAAAGAATAGCTGTTCACAAAGCTGTAACCAGCAATCAGCTTCCATAAGTACTCTCTGCCGTAAACCAAATTCAACCCTTTTCGCGCCGTCACTCCTCTGACCGTGTGCCCGTCCTCACCTGCAGATGTACGCACCTGTACGGCACCCCCACCATGTTCGTCGACATGGTCAACATCGCCAAGCAGAAGCGGCACGACCTCAGCTCGGTACACTCGGGCGTCGTCGCCGGAGCGCCGGTGCCCTTCCACCTGATGCAGGCCATGATCAACGACCTCAACATGCGGGACGCGGTGGTGAGTAGCCATTAGCCGTTTTCACGACGGGCTATCCGACGAGTGCACCTAATTTGACCAAATCTGCACCTAATTTCTTTTACAGCAAATATCTTCATTTTATGAATTTATTTCAGTGTTTTAACCGATGATGCTCTCTGATAATATGACAAAGCAGGCATATAAGCAATTAGAGCAGCCCTAGCTGATAGCTACTAAGAGACACACTGAACCTGATTTGACCAAATCTGCACCTAATCTGCACCACACACAGAAAAATATTAACACCGTTAGCGGTGTAATTGCATAGTACATATCTGAGCACTTGAGGAAAGTTAATTTAGTCCCTTCCCCGCTTAAATTACTCGCGCTTCTAAATGAACACCAGGAAGAAGGTAATAGAACACTGTTAGGAGGGTTGGGTGTTTTGCTACATGTAGTAAAACACCCAACCCTCCTAACAGTGTTCTATTACCTTCTTCCTGGTGTTCATTTAGAAGCGCGAGTAATTTAAGCGGGGAAGGGACTAAATTAACTTTCCTCAAGTGCTCAGATATGTACTGTGCAATTACACCGCTAACGGTGTTAATATTTTTCTGTGTGCAGATGTGCACCAAACGTGTACCAGATGGCCGTCGTGAAAACGGCTATTATCCTGCCACTGTGCTCAGTGAGATGCCCTGGTTTGCGTGCATATAATTGGAATGTCGGGCCATGTGTCTAACCGTTGACCTGAGTCTGATATGTGCGTGATAGGTAGTCTGTGTGACCAATCATGAGCTGAGCTAGCTCTACATTGATACTTGAGAAGCGAACAGTTTACCGTTGGAGCTAAAAAACGGCGTTCTGGCGCGAGATGGTGGGCCCAGGGACGTTCCGTTGAATTCCTGCTGGCTGTGAGTTTTGTGTGTCTGGTTGGCCGACTGATGGATGGCCGATTGGATTTGGCTGTGGGCTGGGCCGCCGGCACTCAGAGGATCAATTGGAAATGCAAGACGACTGCAAACTCAAATAATCTAAATGGAGTTCGAACCCAAACCTGCGGAGACGGACTGAAGCACCGAAATCGTTCGTTGAGCTCGTTGATTGTGGTTTGTAAAACTGAAAGCCGCTACGCCGGCTGCGTAATCTGTACGCTTTGCGTTCCGTTCGACGTTCTAAGGACTCTGTTTAGCTCGTAAGTTGAACTGTCCATACGGAAAATGTAGAATAATTTAGTATCTAATAATACATTATAGAATAAAACACTTGTCTTCATCAGAGAAAAACAGCAAACTTACACAAGTTTATTCAGTCGTTGCAAGTTTCTGCAATAAATATGATTGACCTGCAAACCTACCGTCTTCGGATTGGCATGTTTTGCGGCGTTCGAACAGCCAGCAAACTGAAGCCAGCTTGGTGTGCCGGTCAAGACTCAGTGGCTCTTGGCTTGGCCTTGATCCTCACTCTTCTGGTGATAGGAGGTGTGGAGCGAAACCCCGGCCCCGATTTCGCGGATGAAGGCACTCCAGGACCATCATTCTCGGGAGTGACGCTTATGGACTTGATGGAAGCCATCCGTATAACCCAGCTGAAGCTTGACCATCTTTCCAGCAAAGTGGATGATTTGAGTCGGACTAGATCGATTTCTGATGGAACCCAGTACTCCATTGGCGTACCCAACCACTCCACACCGTCTAAATGCACGACAGCTGACTCCAGAGTGACACCTGAAGCCCGCGCTACACTTGACTCTGGTGTGACGGGGAATTTCCAAACGACTGGCCCTCGCGAAACGCCGTACGCCTGTCCTACGCTCGACTCCAACGTAACGCCGGCGTCGCATACGACTCCCGGCTCCAGCAGAACGCCGAGCACAGGAGCTCTTCCGGCGACTTCGACCACAGCGGCTCCGACTACAGCAGTGTCACGCCACACCAACTCTGGAGCTTGGAGGCGCGTCAGCCCGCGCAGAAAACGTAGTAGCCGCAGCAGGAGCCCAGTTCCGAGTGTCGGGGCGGTCTTGCTCGGCTGCCAGAATGTACGCCGAATCGCTGCAGCAGCCAGGGATGAGTTCTTCTTGGGCGGTGAGGCCTTATTTAAAAGCATCCGTGGAGGGTACGTACGCAGTGCCCTGGGGGCGCTAAGTGGTGCAGTGGCTAGCTGCAGGGCGCTCAGCGTGGACCTCGTCTTGCACATTGGGGGAAACGACTTGTCACATCGAAGTGTGGACTACACAGTCGACTGCATATCAGAGGTCGTACGAGTTGCTAAACAGCTTAAAAAGGTAAGGTCCATTGTGATATGCTCAGTGCCGCACGAGCACGACCTACCTTTGCCAGACGACTACATATCCAGACAACGTAGCGATCTCAACGATGAGATAAAGAGACTGTGTCACTGTGAAGGTGCTCGTTTTTTGGACACCCGTCCGCGATTGAGGGAATGTATGTATGGTGGCTTAGATAAATCTAGACTGAACCTTAACAGAGATGGGTGCAGAAATGTATGGCAATTGCTAGCAGGTGAGGTAGAGGGTTTTTTAGGCTGAAAGAACCGTGGAGTAACGTCTCTGTTCCCAGGAAGCTTCAAAGTCGTTTATTCCATGATGCTGGCATGAACTCTGAGTACGCTCGCTCATCGAAATATGGTCTAGTAATTGGAACTTTAAATGTGCGTTCTTTAGCACCTTCAGTGGATATAGTAGCAGATTATGTTGAACGTTACAAGATTGACGTTCTATGTATCACTGAAACCTGGCTGAGAAGAGGCGAGCCTGATGTTCCTATAGCTGGCCTAACTTTGGCTAGCAGGCGTGACCGTCGAGGAAAGAGGGGCGGTGGTGTAGCCATATATTGCCGCAGTGACCTAGAATTTAATAAGGTTATCAGCCCTTCCAATCCTGCTAATAGCCGTCTTGAATGTATTTGGATTAATGTGAAATGCGGCTGTAATCGTGCTTTGATTGTGGGTTGTGCGTATAGGCCTCCCATATATGAAGGCATCAAAAACGATTTTGATGCCCTTGAATTATCAGTGAAAAAGTTGTTATCAGAGGGCAGGCAAGTGGCTTTATGTGGAGACTTGAATTGTGATCTGCTGTGCCCGAATCTGTATCAAGTTCGCTCCTTGCAGGATTTTATCAACAATGTCGGCATGCATCAATGCGTGAGCCACCCTACCCGTGTTACCAATACCTCATCCACGCTTATCGATATTGTTCTGGTAAGCGACTCTTCCCTTGTGACAGATTGCTCTTCGGAGGATTGCATTGTCTCTGACCATAACTTGGTTATTGTTCGAGTGAATGTCATAAGATCCAGACGGCCGCGTAAACTAATTAGCTATCGCAGATGGCAGGATGTTGATTCCAATGCGTTTTTGAACGATCTGCGTACAGTCTGCTGGTCTCCTGTATTTAGTGCTAAAGACCCAGATGAGGCATGGCAGGGTTGGAAAAACGCTGTGGTTCCTATCCTAGATAATCATGCCCCTCTTGTCACTACCAAAATCAAGCATAAAAGTGGTTTCGGCGTATCGAGAACCACTAGAAAACTCATACGTGATACCACTGCTCAAATGCGCATAGCTCGCCGCTCTGGTGCTACGATTGACGCAGCACTCTATAAAAGTATGCGCCGCCAAGTGCGAAGCGCTATTTCATTCGAACGGCGTTCCAAGTTTGAATCGAGCATCGGAACACATCAATCCAGTAAAGACACATGGAATCTTATTAACCTTACACTAGGGAAATCAAAAACTGCCCACCCCCTTGACAGAAGTGTGGCGCGCCTATTTAATGAGTTTTTTTGCTCCGCCGGTACTAATGCTGAAGCTGGTGTTAGTGTTACCTCTGGGTCGAGTGGCGCATGGTTTGCTCCCTCTAGAGTTCTTTCAACGAAGTTTGAATTGCGTCCAGCAACACATGCTGAGCTTAGGTTTGTCATACGTTCATTAAAAGTACGAACTTCATCGGGGCCTGATGGGATTCCTCCTTCCTTCTTTAAATCATTTTGTGGTCGACTATCTTCACCATTATTGCATGTTATTAACGCCTCCATAGCCAGTGGTACCGTTCCATCATCCTGGAAACTCGCGGAGGTTGTCCCCATCTATAAAGGAAAGGGAGATACCAAGACTGCATCCAACTATAGGCCAATCTCTTTGCTAAGCGTGGGGTCAAAAATTCTTGAAAGACTCGTCTCCATTCAGCTCAATCAGTACTTGGACGATTGCCACGTATTGGCAGACGAACAGTTTGGCTTTCGTGCACATCATTCCGTCGAACATGCTCTTATACTTTTAACAGAGTCCATAAGGTCATCAGTGGATAATGGAGACGTATGCATTCTAGTTTCTCTCGACCTAAGCAAGGCATTTGATTCCGTCAGTCACAACATCTTGCTGAGTAAACTTTCCCAATATGGCATTGACCATCCTTGGTTTGAAAGCTACCTGTCAGGTAGATCTCAGTACGTGCGGGGTTGCGACGACGCAATAGGTCATGTATCTACCGGTGTGCCACAGGGAAGTGTTCTGGGTCCAACGCTTTTCAATCTATTCGTGAATGATTTACCTGCAGTTGCTAATGGCTTATGTACAATTATCCAGTATGCAGATGACACCCAAGTGTTGGTCTCTGGTTCGCCTCGTGATATAGGCAATGTCATAACTCGACTTCATGTTGCTCTTCAGAAACTTTATGAGTGGTTCTCACGAAATCTACTTGCACTTAATGTTCTCAAAACGCAAGTTGTTGTGTTTGGTTCCAAAGTCACCATGAAAAATGTCAATGTTAGGAGCCTAAATATTTTTAATACTGCAGTACCCGTACAGCCATCACTAACTAGTCTAGGTGTAACGCTGGATAGTTGTCTTACGTGGAGCAGTCACATTGACGGTGTCATTCGAAAGTGTACTGGTATGCTAATTCGATTGGGCCAGCTTCGTCGCGTGATGCCCTTAAAGGTAATTGTCCTCCTAGTCAATGCCCTTGTTCTTCCTCATATTCGCTTTTGCATGGCTCTCTGGGGAAATTGTAATGTGACACAAGGGAAGAGAATAGGAAAAATAGTTAAATTTGCACAGCGTATCGCAGGTCGCGAAGCTCACAGACTGGCTTGGCGTGGAGATCTTACCTTACAGCATAAAATCGCGGTATTGAAAACAGTTCGTCAATGTCTACTTATCCCTGAATGTATGCCGCCACTAATTGTGTCTCTCTTTAAAGAGAGACAGTCAGACCGACAAACAAGGCAATCAGGCAACCTTGACCTGGTTATACCTAGGACTGAAATGAAGAAAGCGTCCTTCTCTTACAGTGGTGCAAAACTATGGAATAGCTTGCCCATTCATGTCCGAAACTATTCGAAAGCTGATTTTGTAAAATATATTTTGGAAAATCACGCGGTAAAATGATGCATATGTATGTGGTGTTGTTCCGGTGATGTCACATTGTTCGTTGTAATAATTGCCGGTTACTTATGAGGCTTCGCTGTCTCATCAAACTTTGTGTTATGGAAAATCGCTTTTGTTCTGCATTTTGATTTCGTTATACGTGCTTATGAATGACAGGGCACTGCGCTGCCTGTATTGTATGTATATGGTTTATGTGTGTCAATGTGTTTCCCTCTGTAATGCCCACCGAATGGTGGTTAGTGGGAATATGAAATAATAATAATAATAATAAATAAAGTAGGTATTTCCCGACAGTATGCAGATAGCTTGACGCTATGATCGACCTTATGATGACGACTCTGTGACTATATCGACATAAAACGTTAAAACTTCTTGCTTGGTTAGCGTCTAGCGGCCTCGTTGGTGTTTATATAAAACATCAATGCGTGAATATTTACAGACCAACTGAGCAACGGCATCAAACTTGCTCTTTTTATCACGAATAACGCTGAGTAATACAAATAAAAGCAACATTGAAGGTAACAATCAAAGGTTCTTATTTGAAGTTCACCAAGCGTGCTGAATGAAACTGAATTGGCAAGCAAACTTCGTCTTAAAGCATTCTGAACACAGCCCCCGGCCACTCTGTTGAAGCCGACCCACAATTGCTTCAGATCCCGACCCGAGGGTTTTGTTTGATGTCTCTTTGATGTTGCCTGTGCCTTGTTGGTGAGTGCGATTGGACTCGTATGTGGCCCCGTGATGCCCAGCGCGATAGACTGCTGCAGAATGCAGGAAGCAATCGGGCGGAGTCGGAGGTGGAGCCGGCAAAATAATGTCTCAGCCACGGTGGCACACTAGCTGCTGATGACCCAGGATATAGCTGCTGATACGCCGCGTGTTGGTGGTTTTATTCAAGGAGGTCCATCTCCCTCCATTCCCTCCATTTGAGCATTTCCAAAGCTTTGGCCTTCAGACCAGTCACGGCGTTGATTTCTTTAGCAAGCCGGATATCTATTTTTGCATCGACTGGCGGTCCTCCGGTCGGAATGGGGCTGTGAATTTGTGCGACCATCCCGCTCCACTGGCGAAGTGTCCGTTGCAATAGCCGTTCCTCAGCAGATCGCTGCGATGCCGCGTGCCGAGACTAGCAATCGCGACCTCCCCCAACGCGGAAGACGCGTGCAATGGTCCACACAGCTGGTATATTGGATCTCCGAGAGCCAGGCGCCGGATGGGATCTCCGTGGCCACGAGGGAAGATTATGGCTTTGTTTTGGGCCTGCTCGGGCGTTTCTCTCTCGAACGATTAGTACCGGATCTAAACATGACTGAATCTTGGCGGCGTGTTGTCTCTTCCGCCGCTTTGAACCGGCCTGGTGCGGGCGGTGCTGCACCCACCCTGAGTCGTTTGTTTGTCCGTCTCCGCTTCTGCCAAGTCCGGGTATTTCACGCACGGCAGAGCGAGTTTGTGGCCCGGTCTTTACGGGCGAGACACCGGGTCGGCGCCAGGCTGCTCTTCTCCCTTCCATCTCCAACCGCTCTCACCGCGCCGTCCCGGCCCAGCGTTTCACGGCACGCACTGCAAGCTCTGTATCGACCGCATCCGAGGGACGGGTCGCGCTCGCGTGATCAGCGCTATTAGAGAGGAGCCGGCGCGGCGGTGGGGCGGGGCGGGGAGACGGGTCTCGGCCGCCTCTGCTCCACCAGGGAGCTGCACAAGACGACGGCCGACTGGACGGTAGCTGTGGCGACTTTGCTGCTTTGATAACAAAGTGTAGTTATGCATTATGTGCTCTTTAAAAGATGCAATATAGATGATTGATGGTCCCTGAGTTTAATCCACGGTATAATGAAAGTGTGACCCGTGAACGGGGCGCGATGCATATTGTAGCAGGCTTGTTTTGTGGGGATTATGCAGTCCTTTGCAAATCCCAAACTAGGCTGGTCTGATGAATGGGTGGTGATTGCCCGTAGCTTTGTTCCATTGACTTTGTTCGTTTGTGACAGTTCTGATCTGTCATCAGTTTGAGTGGCAATTTATCGACTATACATATGTATTATCGTTAGTCTGGTATCGAGCGCGGGCGGTGGGCCGCTGCTTCCCGAGCTCGGCAGCCTCCAAACGAGATCTCGTATTCAACCAAGCACTGTTTTCTTCAAACGCAATCATCTGGAAACGAACGCTGAGTGCCAGCCGCTAAGGCTTGCAAGTAAGTTCACGCTTGCGTGGACATCATAAATCGGATATGGGCCGCGGCTGAGAGCCCCGGAGGACGCGCCGGTCGGCACCAGTCGCGCGACTTCTCATGCTCCAATGCTGCAGTCACAAGGTGGGCTCGGAGCTGAGGTGTAATTGCAACTGCACCATCACTTCGCATGAGTCGTGACATTGAGCAGCTGCCGTCATCAGTTTGGACTCGTACAAAGCACAATAGGTAAGCAGTAAGCACAGTAGGCGACGACGTGGAAGTGTGTCTCAAAGAAACACGCTCATTCCTCGCCTTTTCGGCCGGACTAGCGCTGCCACCTCGTCTTTTCGGCCAGACTAGAGCTGCCAATGCCGTCCGGACGCGCTTGGCTTCCCAGAAACAACGCAGGCATGGCGAGGTCCAATGTCCAGTGATTGACGAACCGTTCACAAGGTCTTTCAGAACAGGTCAATTGATCGTTAAAATATCTGCAGAGTCCGCCGAAAATAAATCAGTCAAATGATTGCTGCTATTTGTCGTGATATTTAACACAAAGCAATAAGCATGACAAAATGTCATGTCTTGAGAGATTTATTATGCTTTTCCCTTGTGCGCAATATTTTCAAATCGCAAGAGCGAATTAGTCGTCTTTTCATGAATGGTTCGCATCATGACGCAGTCACACTTTTCACCGAAAACAAACATGACGTAGAGATCAAAGAAGACCAATCAGTGAATAAGCTTTGAATTGTATCGGTTAAATAAGTCAAAATAAATTATGAGTTATGTTTTAAGTCATGTTAATAAGTTAAATAAGTTACTCAACTTATGCGTAAATCATGCAAGTGTTTTATTAGAATTGCCTACTAAGACATCTTTTAATAATGTTCGCACATAACTTGTCGAGCTAAAAACGTTACCAGATAATAGTAATAGCGAATGCTAAATGTCCGCAAGAGCTGACACATTTTTCACGTGTCCGCTTAGTTTAGGGTCGAACCGAGGCGTCGCACTTCCGTTCCTTCGAATCACATCTGGGAGCGGGTCATTTATCATGTGGGCTGACGGTGGAAATGCGGCAGCAACAGGCGGTCGTTTGCCGGGGCTGGCCCCGTGGAAACCGGTTCTGATCCGCCGCCGTCGCGCCGCCCGCCGCTCGTCACGAAATCAATGTCTGGCCGCTCTACAGCAGACATTTGCGACATGTGACACAAATAACACTGCCAAATATTGCCCCCGCGGGCGCAGGCCGAGCGCAAAGCTGTCAGCTTTCCGAGTTCCGGGCCGGGGCGGCGTGTCAGCCTCTGCGTCCAGTGGCGCGGACCCGGCATGGGTTTACTCTGGAGAGACGCGGCGCGGCGCCGAAACAATTTCTGCCGCCACCGCCGCGGTGCTCGGCGACTTAATAGGAACGTCAGCTCAGACGACACTTTGATAACTCACGCGTGTCCGGCGTTCTGAGTCGGCCCGTCGCTTTGTGCGGCCGGTGTTGTGACGCCGCCGCAGCTGGAGCTGTGCTTTGGAGAGGAAGTTTCCGGACCGGGGACGAGCTTCTGACCTCGAGACGCAGCAACAATGCACCTCGGCACCTCGAGAGAATAATAACCATTGTAGCTAGGCTTAAGAGCCAATTTACGTTTAGCTTTGAGACCAGTGTAAATATACAAAAGCTGTGTAGATCACCGGTTTAATACCAGGTAAAAGTCCAATAGAAATGCTTATGTTTAGAAATGCTTATGTAAAAATACTCGCAGCTCAATATGAGCAATGTACAAATGCAAAAGTACATCCTGCAAAACAGAGTTTTCGTATTTTTATTAACTTCATGCATTGTTTAATGCATTAAAATGCTTGCTTGGCAGCTACCAATCAATTTACGTCGCAATGCTTGTTCCATAATGAGCCAACAATGGTTTTGTCATATAAAGTGAAGGTCGATCTGCTATATGTGGAGGCGACTCACATTAATGCCAGCCCCAGTGGTAGTTGGTACCAATCGCTATATTAATTTTGTTATCTAGCATGTGGCGCAGCTCGAACCATAAAGCAGCATGCGCCGATAGAAGCATTGGTGCTCAGACCGGACAATAAGTGTCACGATATGAGTGGATAAAAGCGATATGGGCTGATTGATATGGTCCCTTTGAAGTGCAGCTTCCTTTTACATCTATCATAAATTGCATGGGGCTCTTCTAGTACCGCTCCTGCCCCGTCAGCGATCCCCAGAGCTGTACCCGATCCCCCCGTTCGCAGGTGGGGTACGGTCTGACGGAGTGCAGCCCCCTGCTGACGCTGGGGTTTCCATCGGACGACCTGGAGCACCGCTGCGGCACCGTCGGCTACCCGCTGGCGCACACCGAGCTGAAGGTGGTGGATGGACAGGGTCGAACGGCGCCCGTCGGCCAGCCGGGGGTGCTCTGCGCGCGCGGCTACTGCAACTTCCTCGGCTACTGGGACGACGCCGAGAAGACGGCGGAGACGCTGACTCCGCAGCGATGGCTCATCACCGGGTGAGTCGCGGATCTGGGGAGCTGGGTGGTTTTTGCCCGGTGAGGCGTGAGCTGAAATGGTGGGATTTCGCTGCCTCTCTAGCCCTTTTAGTGGCAGGGGGGTTGTTTTCATCCACCCCTCAGGTTTTTCGGGAGTATCTCCGAAACCGCTGAAGCTACGATGCTGAAATTTTCTGACTTTTCCTAAAACTAAATTGGGCACATTCCCTGAAAATTTCAAGTTTATAACTTTACCAGGGGCGGCTCCAGAGCACTGGGAATTGGGGGGTCCTATTCGTGAAGCGAGTCATTTGGGCGAAGATCACGATGCTGATGTATTATAACTGTATGCACCAGTTTTACGAACAGTGAATGAAAGGTATCATGTGATAACATATACAAAGTTATTGTGCATCCTCTTTTGACACGTTTTTGCTATAATAGGCGGATCCAGGCGTCCAAAAAGGGGGGTTATGTTTTACATCCCAACATAGGTGCGCTGACACCGCCTATGCATGACCAATACAATTGTAGTCGTTCTCTCATAAGAAAATTGTAACATAACAAGACCATTACCATCCTTTTTAGAAACAGTACCAACAAAAATCTTATTTACTATGCTTTTTGTGTACCCCCAATCTCAATGATCTGTATCCACCTATGATTTTTGAAAATGCATATTTTTAGGATCCATGTGAATTCCTGGTTCATTCTCTATCGATCGGCAAAAGTTGCGTTAAGATTGGTTCAGAAACCTGGCCGTGATAAACAGTCTAAAATGTATCTGCAATTTGCCCGTTTTTACCCCCCTCTGCCCCCCCCCCCTATTGACATTTTTTAATTTTTATTTTTTATAAATGTAGATCACGTTGAGCGAAATCGAATGCCGTTTGAATTTTGAAAATCGGCCCGTTAGATCTAGAGATATCAAGGGGGGGTCGTAAACAGCCCCCCTGCCACTAATAGGGGTAGCCAGGAGCCTGCCACTAATAGGGCTAGAAGGGCTGAGCACTGAGCAGGGTTGGTGAGGATGGTCGCAGTGATGCTGTTTATGAATGTTGGTGATGATGACCCTGTGGACTGTGGAGTCGATGATGAGGTAAGTTTAGTACATAGTGGCCTATCGCCGACTGTGTTGTGATGAAGAGATTATTGAGCTGATGCTTATGGTGCTGGTGCTGGTGGTCCACAATGGCCCAATGAAGAAACATGCTGCGTCGAATAACATAATGAATTATCACGGTCACTAAATGTCTGGCGCCTGAAAGGAGGCCTGGACCAAAGAATGATGACACATAAAAGCCGAGAAGCTGCCTGCGTTCTAAATGATTTTCTGAATGAAAAACGTTCGCCAGTTGTCATTATCTTAATGGGATCCGGGTCTCCATTAATCCCCAGTGCTACATCAACAGACATAGAAACGGCAGCATCTCGGGATAGGGCGACTGTGCGCTGAACAAAAACCTGGTAACCGGTTTTAGCTAACATGGCATTTTGTTCAGCAGCTATACTCGTAGTTGATTATTTTTGCTTTGAAGTCGCATATCCTTTTATTTATGGTATCTTCAGCAGATAGAGTATTTTGATTTAAATTTGAAACTATGCCCTCATGTCCCTATTCATCACGCTTCAGAGGAAAACTTTCTTCGCTCGGTTTCGATTTATTCGTCGACTCCATCGAGCACGATTGTATTGTTCCATAAAGTATCGATAGCGGTATTTGGATTTTATGTGGCACGTCCGAGAGCCCACATGGCACATAGTTCAGAACTTGGTTGCGAGGACCAATATCTGTCGGCGGTGAAGTCGTCTGTCGGCCTTTCTGTTGTGTTTTGCCGGTACAGTGGCGGCCGCGATCGGTCGGTCGCAGCCCGACCGGCCAGTTTTGTCGGTCGGTCCTTGGTCTAGGTCGGCGAGTCTTGTCGCTCTCCTGGCCGGCAACTTTTGCCGCAGCCGGGTTCGGTGGGTTTCGTCGGTGGGTCCGACCCAGGCCGGTGTATTTCGCAGGTCGGCCTGGTCCATGCTGGAGTATCTCGCCGGCTGGTCCGGTCTGTGCCGGTGTATTTCGCCGGTTGGTCTGGTCTGTGCCGGTGTATTTCGCCGGTCCTGCCCACCTAGGCCTGTGTATATTGCCGGTCGGTCCGACCCAGGCCGGTGTATTTCGCCAGTCGGACTGGTGTAGTTCGCCGGTCGGACTGGTGTAGTTCGCCGGTCGGACTGGTGTATTTCGCCGGTCGCTCCGACCCAGGCTGGTGTATTTCGCCGCTCGGTCCCACCTAGGCCGGTGTATTTCGTCGGTCGGTAGGGTGTATTTCGCCGGCCGGTCCGACCCAGACCTGTGGTTTTTGCCGGCCGCTCTGATGGCCTGCCTCTGTGAGTGTCCGCTCTGGTCGGCGACAGCTGCAGCCACAGTCGCCGTTTTTGTGCCGCGCATCAGCCCGCAGTCGAGTAATCGGACCCACAGCGGACGCATTAGACCCACTGGAGACACAGTTGATCCTACAATGGAGCGATATTGATCAAAGGTGGCACATATGGGCGAGACTGCCAATGGTAACACACAAGATACGGAACTACATCGGACACGCCAGGCCGCGGACCCAAAACGGGTTAGTGCCTCTCGCACGCACCTGCCCTTCGCCGCCAGTTTTCAACTCCCACCGGCCCATCGTTCGGCTGTCGCCGCCCCTCAGCGCAGTCCCATCACCTCCCAACTCCTCTCCGACCCGCGCCCGCGCTCGTACCAGTATCGACCACCTTCCTTACAAAAACTCCCACCGGCAGATAATCCGATGATGCTGAAAGTGGCAGGTGGCACGTGCCGATAGATAGCGGGTAGCCTGCAGAAAGATGCCGAAGTCGGCTGCCGAATGAGCTCTCATTCGGCGCGATGGTGAAAACTAATCCTGCACTCAACCGCTGATGGCTAAATAACGACCCAACTTGCGTGCCCTGGGAGCCGTAAAAACAGTGAAACGGCGATGGTGGGAGAAAATAGCGTGGGATGACGTTAGTGGATAACAGAGCAGTTAATGAAAACAATTACTGTATGCCTGGTCTATTCAAATACATTAGCCAGAGGGGTGTGGTAATAACTGGTGTAAGCAAATTGACCACGGTCAAAAATGCATTACCAGAATGCACTTAAGCCAACATTTTGGGATGTTCTCGTTCCTAAGTCGGCTAAGAGCTTCGGTCCAGAAAATAAATTTATCGTTGGCATCGTTGGCATACAGTAAAATACATACCAAACTCGGCCGGTGATAAATTTTCAAGACCTCAGTCCTTACTGATTTTTGAACTCGGCCTTCGGCCTCGTTCAAAAATCCAGTAAGGACCTCGGTCTTGAAAATTTATTTACACCGGCCTCGTTCAGTATTATATAATACCTGTGCTAGCTAATAATTCTACACCGACTATCACGACAACTTTTCGTGGCAGTAATCGAGAAGCTGAATCATGGGTACCTGACATCGTTCTTCCAAATCCACTCCAATAACCTCGAATAAGTTAGAATGCTTCGAACTTTTAGAGTTATGAATTGAGCAATGTTTTTTTTTTTGCTGTTATGATGTTTTATCGTTTGTTTCTATCGTTGATGTCTGCTGTTGGTTTGTTGGTTTTCTATCTTGGTTACATCACCATGAATGTGACCGCAAGGCTGACTGCTGTGATGACGCATAAGTTATATGTGAGGAGATTTGTTGTAAATTGTTGGGCTTCTGTTCTTTGAGAGGACTGTCCACGAATCACTTCGTTTACCCATTGTTAGTCTGCATTAATTACGCGCGCAATGTTATAATTTATTTTCGATGTGGTCTCAGCTAATTTCTTCATCCCATCATTCCATCTCATGCTTCCATTGTTTAGGCGATATAGGGAATGACGGTCATGCCTGCTGGTCAAGCACTTTTTTTTACAACAGTGGTATTTTTCTACCGTGTTAAACGGAGTAAAAGACATATTTATAAATTTATTTGAACAAGGCATTTTTTTTAATCCTTTACCTCAGTGTCTCCGAAGGAAAAGGAAAATAATCACTTGACCTAAGGAACATAAAAATGACTCTTCGACAATATTGAATTATATTTGCTATAAAATTTGTGTGCTGTGAAAATATACGCTAGACAGGACCTGCTTATTGGAGTAGGTGTGCTCATTTTTTGTTTCAAATATATCAACTACCGTCGTCACAGCCCCCTGCCAGCGCCTAGTTGCATACTAAAAGTGTGTTTACGGCCGGTCGGTATCCGCCTAAGTTGTTATGATGATGAAGAGCTGACATCGCATTAGGTTGGCGCATTAGGACGACGCTTCGCTGTATCACCATACGAAAGGAGTTTTTATGGTGATGTATGCGTGAGCCGTGAGGCCTTTTATACCATGCACGTGATATGATTGCGTGTCTCCTGACAAAGAATCGTTCCTCTTTGGAGCATCTATCAGGAATTCTCGTCATCGTTCCTTCAAGTCCTCATCTTTTGGAAGGAGACAAGCGTAGTGATGCCCTGGAATTCACATATCTTGGCAGATGGCAATCGCGAGCTCCTTTGTTCCCTCGATCCCGTCGGGTTGCGTGACCTATAGCGTCGTATATGGCGTTTGAATCTGTATAGGGCCGCTTTAATTCTGTTTCATTTACGAACATATTCAAGGTCGTTAAACAATCATGATCGTAGTTTAACGTTTTTTGGTTCGACAAAAACGACCGACAGATTTTGCTGAATGAGCCAGAAAATCTATTCTTGTTTTAAGATATCATCGATGATTGTCATCGGTCGTTTTAGTTCGACTGTCGATATTGCGTAACTGGGTCTCCTTTACTGTTCCATTAATCACCCTAGTTCAATATTTTAAGTCCCGTGGTGTCGTATAGCGGCGTATTACCATCTCGCCGGGTCTGGGTGCGAGTCTGAGGCGCGTTACCATCCCACACCGTGTCTATGGATGAACTTAAGAATCGTACGTTACTCCGCGGTGCGTCGGTCTATCTGACAGACACTCGGCAATGCTCAATTACC